CGTCTCCCATTGGCGGAGGCGCGCGGCGAGGCGGCCAACCCCGCCCTCCAGCCACATCCTCCCCAAGGGGGGCGGGTCTTGCTCAGGCCCCGCCCTGATAAATATGAATGAGTCCAGCGGGGAGGAGGGCCGCGGCGCCCCCCAGGGGAGGCTGCGGGAAGTGCAGGGGGGAAATCGAGGCAGGCCGACCCAGCACAAGGGGGGGGAAAGGGTTGTTTCCGCACTGCAAAGGGGTGCCGCTCTCCCCCTTTTGCAGATGGGAAGACTGAGCCAGGCTGCAGCTAAGTGCGGGGCTCATGGTCCACCCCCACCCCCTCCCAGTATGGTGCATCAGATTCACCCGGAGCCACTCTGACCCGCTAGGCAGGCCCTGCCGGGGTAGGCACAGGCAGAACACCAGCCGGTGGCCCTGAGTCAGCGCCGTTTTGGGGTGGGGAGCGTGGTAGCGTCTCGTGCTTCCAACACCTGCTAGGAGCACCCAGAGGCGAGGAGACAGCCAGTCCCTGCCTCCCCCCAGCAGCTTCGGTTTCCAGGTCCAGCAGCCTGGTTACAGCAGGATTGTCCCTGCTGCAGCCTGGGGAGGCCATGGGCAGGGGAGCACAGCCAGGTTCGGTGCCTGGCAGCAGGCCCACTCAGAGAAGGAGGGAGAAGAGCAGCCCTGAGCCCGGGACATCCCTGGGGAAGGGCTGCTGGGCCTTTGCTACACTGCTACCCCCCAGGCTGCATTACCCGTGGGGCGGGGGCAGTGCTCTGTGCCAGCCATGCCCGGCCCTGCCTCTCAGGAATGACGCTGGGCCCTCCTAGGCCCCCTGCGCCTGCTCCGGCTGTAGTCGCTCTCCCCAGCAACTGTGCTCCCAGCAGCGTGGGCACCGCTCCCGGCACAGGGGGCAACACACCCAGGACACACTGGGTGACTGCAGCCCCCAGCCCCACCTGGCTGCACCGGGCCACGAGGAAAGCAGGGAGCTGCGGAGGAAGAGCACAGCCCTGGGGAACCACGGGGGTTTATTGCAGCAGCACCGGAGCATGGCAGCATAGTGTCCGTGACGCACTCCGCCCTACGTGCCGAACTTCTTCTGCTGGACGGGCGGGGGCAGCTGGGTCTGGATGTCCTTCAGGGGCCGCTCCACCACCACCAGGCAGTCCTCGTCCAGCAGGTCCATGAACAGCAGGGGCTGCAGGGCAGCAAGAAGAATGGGGTCAGAGTGGCTCTGGGAGCACAGGAGCCCACAAGACCCAGCTCACGGTTCCACTGATGGGGAAGTGGGGTGCACGGCCCCGCCGCAAGCAGCTGCACTGCTGCGGCTGAACAGGGCAGCGCCCCTGGAGAGGTCAAGCTGGTGCCCCACACCCCATGCAGCCCCAGGGCACAGACCTGGTACTTCTTGCAGATCTTGAAGGCATGAGCGTGGCCCCGGCGGGCCTTCTCTGAGAGCTGCTTGAGCAAGGCCTGGTTGTTCAGCTGGGTGTTGTCATCAGGCAGGGGCTGGGGAGATGGCATGGGTTGAGGGTTCCTGATGTGGGGGACGCTATACCCACCCTCAGGCACCCCCCAGGGCTTTCAAGGGGGCTCTCTGCTCTGTAGGAGCATAGCCAAGCTCTCTGAGGAGATGGCAGGGTGGGCTGGAGGGAGGCCGTTCCCCAGGAGCTGCAGTCCTGCCCCACACAAGGGGATGAGCCAGGCAGGCGGCAGGGCGCAGACTCACCAGGGACTTGTCCATGA